CTACGGTGGCCCAGAAGGAAGGGGCGGGGCGGGAGGCGCGCGCCGTTCCCGCCTTTCGGGCCGTTCCCTGCGGTCTCGCTCGGTTCTGAGGCGACAGCCCCGGGGAGCGGCGGCCGGCGGGGGGGGGCACCCCCGCGGGGGGTTTTCCTTTTGCCGGGGGGGGCCCGGCTGAGGGTCTGGACCGAGTGTGGGTGTCTGAGGGGGCCCGTAGTGCCGAACCTGGAGGTCCGGCTGGTCAGCGTGTGCCGCCCGCTTGGGGAGAGGGGGTCTGTCGGGGAGGGACACCGGCCCCACAGCACCGCCTGGAAACCGGCGGGGAGAAGCTGGCGCCAGCCACGGGTTAAGGAATCGATCGTGCTCCCCGCCGTAGGTTGGTTTTGAGGGGCGCCGGGTCCGGGACCTGCCGCGTTTTAAATGGTGAGCTTGGAGGAAGGGTTGTGTTTTCAGTACTGAGGAAAGAGACCCAGCACAGCCGGGCCAGTCCTTGTCCAGTCCTTGTTCTTCACATCCTGGGGGGACAGATCATAATAAAGAACAGCAATAAACACAGCCCAGACTGAGAAGCAAGCCCCTGAGCTGTAGCTGTCAGCTCAAGGCCGTTTTTAATTACAGACTTTGTGTTAACAACATACCTACTTGTAACACACCCCGTTACACCCTTTGGGCTTACTTCCAGTAACGTCAAGGCACACAGAATTGTTGCATCCCTGTCCTGGCTTGGAATAGAGCTGTTCTTTGGGTCATGCTGAATTTCATAGAAAAAAGGGGTTTTTTTAAATTCTCATCTGGTGAAACAAAAGCTAGCACTTCCTCAAAGGTAGTATGTATTTTCACCACCTCTGCTTTCTAAACCTAAGTAGAAAATTATTTAGTAAAAGAATGTGTTTAAAGGGATATTTGATGTGAAAACTGTAGCAAAACTTAAGTGTTTCGGTAGAGACCTGGTTTCAAATGAGTCTTTACCTTATGTAGCCTCAGAATCAGTAGGTCTGAAATGCCCCCTTCACTGTCCTTTGCAGATGGAGTTTGGATTCTCCAGGTTCATTTCATTTCTAGTCTGTATAAGTGACCTCAGAATCAGGAAAGAAACTCACGTCACTCTTATACAAAATGCCATTATTTCCTGACAGCAATGAGGATCATGTCTTTATTGCATCTATTCATCCTCATTAACCAATCATTAGTCATGTTTCATGTCATTTATCACCTGTCTTCTCAGATACCTGAGACTTAAGGGATCTACAGCATTCCTACAAGTCTTCTATCCCTCACTCCACTTTATTGTCTTAAACTGCTTTTAAATCAATCATGATGTGTCACTTCTAAGGCCAATACTCTGTTCTGTCTTCAGTACATAGAATCAAAAGCTTTTTCTTTCCCTTAGCAACATCCTCTGGCTTTTTTCTTTATCTCCTCACTGTGGAGTGTAACTGTGTTTACAGACAGGAAGGCGAGTACCTGCCTTCCAAGCCCTCAAGCCTTGAAGCTGAGCAATTCGAAATTTTCAGGTTTTTAAGTAAACACGACCAGCATTTTTTTGCTTCGTTCTGTGACACCCCCTCAATTAAATCAGTTTTTCCTGCTGCTAGGACCTTTATTGGTGTTTTTTTATGCCAGTGACTGTGCCATGTTTCTTGGTATTTATAAGAAACCACTGGGACATCTTGGTTGTATCACCTTTGGGGAAAGGACTGCAGCAAGAAGCCCAATTCTTAAAGCAGTTCTTCGTCTTAGTCTTAGCCCAATTCTTAGAGCGGTGCTGCTGCTGAAAAGGAGGAAGGCCACCTGCACAAGGCAGGGCTTTCCAAGCAACTGTGGAAGGCTGTGAAAGAGACTCCCCGAGGAAGTTCCCTCACACCGGAGACAGACAGATCTGGTTTGGAGGGAAACTGCCTTGGAGGTGGAAGGGAAATCCTCTTCACGGAGCTTTCCAAATGAGGAGAATTGGCCCATCTCTGGCCCATCTCAGCCAAATATACAGCCTGTGACTAATGATTTTGTACAGCCCTCCACCAGGTATTAACAATTTCCATCTTCCAAGTGCAGGATGCACTCATTTCATCAAGCTTATTGCTACATGCACGTTCAGATTTTAAAACAGATTAAAAATTCCAATCAATTTCCTACCACTGAGAAGAAAAAAAAAAATGGCGGTTGCCTCACAACTGACATAATGATGCAAACGTAGAGAAATGCAGTCTGGGCAGGACAGCAGAGGCGTCAAGAAGTGGAGGCTGAGGATGCAGCAGAGGAGTACGGGCGTGGGATGAGAAGGGATGGGGCACATCCCCAGCGCTGGAGACCTCACGGCTATAAATGACCCACCGGCAGTTAAAGATTCGCAGAGCTGGTGCTGAACAAAAACAGTTTTCATGGGTGACAAAGAACTAAAACCAAGTACCTAACATACATAAAACACCATATAGATTGGATTTAGATGTAACATGGAACTGCAAACCCGCGAAGAAAGAGCAAGACGTAAAAGTGTGTTAAACATGAAAATTACCCCAAATTGATCCTAGAGTGAGGGAGAAGAAAACATCATATTCTTCCTGGCCTGTGACTCCAGATGTGATGACTTGCCCTAGCAGCTCCTCACACACACACACAAGCCCAAAACCACTGACCTTCAGACCCAGGGGAGCAGCAGAAGTGTGAGCATTACACAGGTGAAGAAGGGTAAAAATAGTAACAGTTTATATAATAATTTTAACTGTATTACTATTATTATAATTTAAACTTTTTCTACATAGAAGTATTCTTTCTTTTCCCATAATAATTAGAGCTGGATTAATAGTGACCCTTGGATTAGGCTAAGATTTCAATTCTACTAATAAATTTTTGGCTTTAAACTTACATTGATTTCCTCTTTGCCCATAAAAAAGGTTTTCAGTGTAGCAGCAGTGTCACGAGGTTCTGAAGGATGAGCCGCAGAGTTCCTGGGGGATAAGCCCAGTCAGGATGCTGGGGAAAAAACAGCCTACATTTCTTCACGGTTATAATTGTTTTTTAAACCAGTTTTGAAATAGTTGGTATTATTCCACTTGGTACTGGAATCATAAGAACGTAACAGTGCTAATTAATACACTACATGTTGTACGATAATAAAATGTATACAGTAATTTTATAGGATAAACGGAATCTTGATGTTTACCTCTAGCTCTGCCATGTTCTAGCTATATGGCGCCGGTATCCACAAAGCAAGGTGCAAAGCGTGAAGCACAGACCTCATTCTGCTCCCGCGTTGCAGAGCAGCCGTGAGAGCCGTCAGGCACTTGCAGTTCTCCCACGTGGAGAACCCACCGCAGAGGCTCCTATGCCGACCCCCCCAGGCCTCAGCGAGGAGAACACACGACTTCCAAGGATCCAGGAGCTTTGCCTAGGACATTGTTATTTTTTGGTGGCTGCCGAAATGTTCAGTTCTGCGTGTCTGGCCAGGAGCGAAACCAGCCCTGAAGGTGAACTGGGGCTGTTTACAGAGGTTCACCCTCCACACAGCTGTCCTGAGAACTGCCCAGATAGACTATAGAGCCGGATCCGTCACCTTGTGATGATTTCTTATGTAGTGTATTCTGGTTTTCCACTGTGTGACACGGAGATTTTTTTGGTGTAATTTGCTTCAACACATACTTTTTTTTCTTTGCACGTTAAGTGGAATCCTAAATCATGCTGACATGGGAGATAAATGAGAATAATTCTAATTAACTTTGGGGTTTCACAGTGGAAAATTAAATTGCAGTGGTAAATATTTGACTTCAGCACTTGCCTCTGGACCCTTTCACCCACTCTATTTTAAAGATTAACCTATGCTTCATATTTTCACTTCTCTCATTTGATGATGTACTCAGTATCTTTAACTCAAATAAAATCTTTGGCAAACATAAATGGAACTCTTTGCTGGCTTAATTAGTTCAGCATATTAGCCTGTAATTCCAACAATTAATTCTAGTTCCATCATTATTCTTTTTAAAAATCTTTCTTCTTGGATTTCACTGAAAATGGATTTGGAAACAAATGACTATCCCCTTTACATTGTGTCTCAACTGAATAATAACCTAAATTCCCTGCCTCTTTCATTCAAGGATCTGAAAATATTTTCCAAATGTTGATGCAGAAAACTTCAAATCCCTCACTGATGAGGGGGTTACTGTGATCTTCAGATAAAGAAACTGAGGCATAGTGAGGCTAATTACTAGGACTATTTTGTTAGATTGATGTCATCCAAAAACTGGATAAATACTTAGGCCAACAAAAAATGAGTGTGAATTGGAGCTGTAGTGGAATTTAAAAACCAATCACATACAATTGAATAAATCTGTGTGAAATTACCAATTTCCACATCATAAAATTAATTTAACCAGAAATAATTTCAGGTTGCTATATATTTGTAGGCATGAGACAAATCCAGTGAATGCCTTGAATATACAACTCTCTATCAAGGCAGCAAAATAACTTAAAACTATATTGAAACAGTATTTGAAAAATGAAGTATTCTAAAACCTATTCAGACCTGCCAACGTTAAGCTCCCTGTTCAATTTCAGTTTGAGCCCTAGCACATTCTTGATGATACAAGTTATTAATTACAGGACCAGAAGCTGATTTTGTTCTCAGGACACTTACTTCATTCCGTTCACAGAACAGACAATACCAAAGGAATTTAAAAAACCAACCAAACAAATGACCCTTTTTTACTGCTCTTTAGCCCGTGCAGGATCCTTCTTGTCCCTCACCCAGGGGATGCACTGAAGATAAAATGTCATTCATTTCAAAATCCTTTCAATTTGTCCTCCCAGTGCACACTCGCTCTCTTTCCTTGCCCCATCCCACAACTTACCAGATAGGGAAACACTACCTATTCCTTTCACAGATGTGGAATGGGGAAATATTTCAGCTAAAATTTGAAAAGAATTGGTAAACATGCCAGCAGTTCAAAGCTGTCGAGGCCGTAAGTAGCCCTTCCACAGTGTTGTGCGGGGCAGATCTCAGAGCAGACCTTCACATAGCAGGAGGGCCCTCCCCTTACACTTCAGACTGTGAAATCAAACAAAGTGCTTTTCCCCTCTTCCTTTTTTATTTTGGAGATGGTGACACAGTCAAGTATTCTATACAAATTTAATTGAGCGTGGTGCTGACACATTTATTCTAGTCTCACATATTGAAAGCTTTAGTCTGCATGCATTGCTAAGGAAAAACCCACCCAAACTACTACAATAGATAAAACAAGAAGCAATTTACTTCGCAATTAGCTTTATACTTCTTTTCTGTGCAATTAGAGACGTTTAGATATGAGCTTCCTTCCTTACAAGCAGATTTTAACTAAGGAGTTTAATTATATGCTAAAAGAATAATGTTTTCTCCAGTGTTTTCTTCTAAAACCTGCATTGAATACTTAATCCTGTGTTTATGAGTGTAAAATCTGCTGCTATGGATACAGTGAGGTCAACATTTCAACGTTATTTTCTTACTGTGCTGTGTTAAAGGAGATGGTAGGATATTTTTGTTTCAACAAAAATATCTTAGAAAGTGCAACATATTTTAAATGCATATGTAAAGGATTTTATTTAATATTTCTCTTTCAAGTACAGGAGTTATAACAAGGTCCAGACTGGCAGCACTGAAGAAACACCTCGTCTGTAATAGAACTTTACTTCCATTTTCACCTGATGCTATAGAGTGTTTTACAAATATTAATTAAGCTGCACAAAAGTCCTATGATAATCCTCAAGGTGACCCCAAAAAGAAAA